AAGGGGAAAAGAAATTATTAAACTTAGGGAAGAAATCAACAAAATTGAATCCAAAAAGCATTACAAAGGATCAGCAAAACGAAGAGCTGGTTTTTTGAAAAAATAAACAAAATTGACACACCATTGGCCCAACTAACCAGAAAAAGGAGAGAGAAGACCCAAATCAATAAAATTAGAAATGAAAAACAGAATGTAACAACAGATACCACAGAAATAAAAAGACTAATCAGAAATTACTACAAAGAGTTGTACGCCAACAAACTGGGAAATCTAGCAGAAATGGATAGATTTCTGGACAACCTACCTAAATTGAACCATGAAGACATATAAAACCTAACAGACCCATAACCGAGTCAGAAATTGAATCAGTAATAAAGGCCCTCCCAACAAAGAAAAGACCAGGACTGGGTGGAATCACTGCTGAATTCTACCAGACATTTAAAGAAGAACTAACTCCAATTTTTCTCAAGCTATTCAAAACAATTGAAAGAGAGGGAATCCTCCCAAATTCTTTCTACAAAGCCAGCATCACCTTAATTCCTAAACCTGAAAAAGATGAAGCAGAGAAAGAATTACAGACCAATTTATCTGATGAACACAGATGTAAAAATCCTCAATAAAATGTTAGCCAATAGAATGCAACAACACATCAGAAAGATCTTCCACCCAGACCCAGTGGGATTTATCCCTGGCATGCAGGGATGGTTCAACGTTCGCAAATCAATCAATGTGATACATACCCAACAAACTGCAGAAGAAAAACCATATGATAATCAATAGATGCAGTTATAGAATTTGATAAAATACAATATACTGGGGCCAGCACCATGGATCACTAGATTGATTCTCCACCTGCGGCACCAGCATCACATATGGGCGCTGGGTTCTAGTTACGGTTGCTCTTCTTCCAGTTCAGCTCTCTGCTGTGGCCCAGGAGGTCAGTGGAGGGTGGCCCAAGTGCTTGGGCCCCTGCACCCTCATGGGAGACCAGAAAGAAACACCTGGCTCCTGGCTTCAGATCCATAGTGGCCATTGAGGGGTGAACCAACGGAAAAGGAAGACCTTTCTCTCTGTCTCTCTCTCACTGTCTATAACTCTACCTGTCAAATAAATTTTAAAAAATTAAAAAGGAGTGTCAATTGTTAAATCAACAACAGGCATCACTGTGCACTTGCTCCCCATGTAGAACCTGTCTTTAATGTGTTGTACTATGAGAATTAACGGTAAAACTAGTCTTCAAACAGTACTTTATACTTTGTGTGTCTGTGTGGGTACAAACTGTTGAAATCTTTACTTAGTATAGAGTTGATCTTCTGTACATAAAGATAATTGAATATAAATCTTAATGAAGGATGGGTGGGGAGAAGGAGTAGGAGGAGGTGGGATGGTTTGGGGGTCGGAGGGAGGATATGGGTGAAGAACCACTATAACCCAAAAGTTGTACTTATGAAATTTATATTTATTAAATAAAAGTTTTCTATAAAAAATTAAGCAATCAAACATAAGTGTATGTTAAATTTACTTTATAAACTGATGAATTTATGAATAAACAGAATATTCATCTTGTAGCTATAAAATGTATGATGCAGAGTATAAAATTAGCGTCACTTTTTTATATATGCTGTGACAAAAAAACTATTTGCAAATGTTATCATATTAAGAATTGTCTGCATCATATAAAAAAAACGAGGAATTACCAAAAAAGAAAGAACAAATTCCTAGAATTCTCTAAGGGTACGAAGGTCACTCTTTACAGCTCTTTACAGGAGAAGAGGAAGAAGGGTATCCGATAGACCTATCTTCCCAAAGGCCTCAGTTGGCTATGGGGAATCCATTCTTAGAGAACTATGATTCTTTCTCTCCCCTTCCAGGTACTGAGATGGAGGCATTTCCCCATCCTTCCTTTCCCTGGGACTCATATTCCTTCATATTCTTCTACAAGTCTTTCAACAAAGCAAACTTTTTCTAGATTGCTCTCTGACTCCTTTTATTTTATTAAGACTTTAGGATTCATATTTGGCAAATTACATTTTATGTTCTATTTAGCATTCAATACTATCCTGTCTTGTAAAGGAAGAGAACATCCCCTTTTGACTCTAAACAAATCCTTTCTTCTGATTTTGATACTAAGCTCAATGTACTTAATGAGGGAGCTTGATCTCTTTTCAGTCTTCCTTATGTCCTGTATGGTCAACTTCTTTCGCCACTGAGTCCTTCCTAGGGTAATATTTTAAATATGCTCAAGTATTTGTCATCACAACAAAAGAATAACATGGAACATTAACCACTACTGTTGCCCCAGGCTTGCTTGTACTGCAACTTTATTCTCTTCTCCATTTCTAAATTCTTGAGTTGTTCATACTACCTCAATTCATTTTCTCAATCTCATTAGTCTACAGTTTTAATCACCTGTGATTATTTTGAAATGTACTATATATGAATGAAACAGAAATCTTTTCACTTGATAATTGCTTATAATGCTTACCTATATACCCACTAAACTATTTTTTTTTTTTACTTTTTACTTGTTGAACTCTTAGTGGAGTATTAAGCCTTTGACTATAATATAAATTAAAAATATGTTATCTTGGGCTGGCGCTGTGGCACAGTGGATTAACACCCTGGCCTGAAGCACCAACATCTCATATGGGTGCCAGTTCTAGTCCCAGCTGCTCCTCTTCTGATCCAACTCTCAGCTATAGCCTGGGAAAGCAGTAAAAGATGACCCAAGTCCTTGGGCCCCTGCACCCATGTGGGAGACCTGGAAGAAGCTCCTGGCTCCTGGCTCCTGGCTTCGGATTGGCGTAGCTCCAGCCATTGAGGCCATCTGGGAAGTGAACCAGTAGATGCAAGACCTCTCTCTCTGTCTCTACTTCTTTCTGTAACTTTGTCTTTCAAATAAATAAAATAAATCTTTAAAAAAAACTGTTATCTCAAAAGTTAACAAAACATAAGAAAAAAGACAAGAAAACAGAAAAGAGGAAACAACAAAAGGGAAGGAAGGAAAGAGGAGGGATAGAGGAAGAAAAGTATCACTATATTCTTAGAATTTTATCTAGGAACTACATTGAGTCTGTTATCTTTGTACTAATATTACATTAACATGAGATTTGATGAGAATTGTATTGTATTAATTATCATGCATTTGCTGTGACCCCAAGAATCTAATGTATTAATAAATTCCTTTTAAAAATTAAAAAAATAAAGTAGGACCAAGCTATCAAAATATAAATTTTATATTTATGTAAAAAATCTGTGGAATGGCACAAAGCCATAAATACAAAATCACTCAAGGATCACATTAAAGTAAGAACTGGTTTTGTCTTGAAATTCCACTGATGTGTCACAGTCTGTCACTTGTCATAATGTCCCAACATTGGTTGCACACCTTTGTGATCATGCTAAGAGTTACTAGATTGTACATTTTCAATGGGTCAATTATTTATCAATCATATCTATTAAAATGTAACTTCATAAGTTTAACATTAAAGAAATATTATGTAACTGAAAGTAGGCCATGCTTACACTAACGATGAGATTATATCATAATCCAATCTAGTAATCAATCAAATGATGTATGCCTGAAGTCAAATTTTTATTTTATTTTTGACACCCAGTTATAAAAACAGCTTTTATTTATTAAGTGCTAGAAAAAAAATTAGACTATTATGAAGAGCTAACAGAAAGGACCAGGAGTACAATGTCCACTTGAGGAACTCCGGCACAAAGAGATCTGAAATGAGGTAGTGACCAAAGGAAAGAAAGTCAAATCCAAACCTGTATGAGTGACTATGCCTCAGTAACCTCATGGAAGGTAGCGTCAGACGGCTAAGGTTTAAAGTGGTTATTTAACTGTTATTGTTATTTTAGTCTTACAGCCTTCCTGGGAAAAAAAGGTAAGTATGAAATGCCATTTTACAGAAAGGGAAGTAGAGGTTCACAGAGGAAAAATGATTTGTCTAATATGATAGGGGCAGATCACGCTGACCACCTACTCAATAGCCCATCTCCTTCCTACTTGCCAAAACCACCCTGATTTTGATGGGTGTTTATGTGGCTAGCACTAGAGAATGAAATCTTGACAAATTTGTACTAATCAGATAATGGCACTGCCTCGCCCACAATCTCTGCCAGATACTTGCTTTAAGAATCCTCTGAAGCTTCAGAGAAAGCCATGTGACAACCCTAGCAAAAGAGAATGGAGGGAACATTTCCAAGGTGGCATCCAGGAGAGATTTTCTTTCTTAGTAAAGAAGGGATCTGCTAGAAGAGTCTCCTTCTGATGTCTTGTGTGCCTCAAGTGACCAGTCTGAGGACAGAAGCCAACTCACCATACCTGAAGGAATGTATGGTGAGAGGCTGCTTCCCTGAGCACTTCAATGACCCTCACAACCAACCCTGGAACTGGGAGTCTGGAATTCTGGTGTGTGGCAGCAGAGGGTGACTAAATGACCAGCCCACAACAGAAGCCCTGGGTGCTGAGTCTCTAATGAGCTTCCCCAGCTGGTCACATTTCACAGGTGTTGTCAGAACTCCTTTCTTAAGCAACTGAGCGTGTCCTGTGTGACTCCACTGTGCCTGGTTTCTCCCAGACTTCACCCCATATACCTTTTTCCCTTTGCTGATTTTTCTCTGTAGTCTTTCACTGTAAAAAAAAAAAAGTCACAGCCATGAGTCCTCTTAACCAGTCATCAAGTCTGGGGATGGTCTTGGGGACCTCCTGACACAATAAAACTCTAGTTAAGCCTCTCATTACTGTACTGTCCATAATTTGCAGCTGAATTTTCTGTAATTTCTGAGGCCAAATTTTTAAATGTCATTATTGTAATAAAATTTTATAATATTTAAAAATATTTTTAGAACATATAGTAGTATAAAAATGATAGCTTTACACAACATTCCAAATCTAAACTTTCTTATGACTTAAAATTAATCTGAAAAACATAACTTATATTCATGTTTTCACACCCTTAAACTCATACTGAAAACATAAAACTTACCATCAATATCAACTGCCTTTAGTGCCTGTCGCATTTCTGAATCACTGACAGAAATCTTCAAGATTCTAAGGACTGTTGGCAGATCATTCACATAAATCCTACCATTTCGAATTTTACTAAAAATTCTACAGGCTCTATGAAGTGCTGTGCATAAACAAAAGATTAGTTAATTAATCCAAATGAGCAATCATTCTTATTTTCCCTATTTTCTCTCTCAAGAAACAAATTTCACGAAAAAAAAAAGGTAGGGGGAGAAAAACTTCTTTTGTTGTTGTTTTTTAGTTTATCTTAAATTCTATCTCATGACTTATTCAGGTCAGATCTGGAGCCAGTGACCTCTGAGTCTATCAGTTTCCTAAAGAGCTTTCAGAAGCTGTCAGAAAAATCATACAAGGGTCACAGACACAGACTTTTTACAACTTTCCCCTGGAAAGCACTTAGTATATAATTCAGTCAAAGCTCTTGGTATTATGATCGCTTGCATGTCAATGTACCTCTCTAAACTGTCAGCTCCTAAGGGCCAGATATTCTAGTCATTAGTTTTCAGTGCCAAATTCAGAATAAATTCTCAAAACAATGTTGAACTGAAATTGATTTAGTTCAATGGATATCATATTTTCAGAAAAAATGCAAAAGATGACAGTTCTAAATACAATATTATCCAAAAAATAATAATAATGACTTTAATATTAGAAGCTTTGGTAGAGTCTTATAAGTGGGAACCAGATTTCAGTGAAACAACAAGCAAATAAAAAGTGGAGATTACTGAAAACAACTCTTTCAAGAAGCTTCTCTGAAAAATTTGAATATAAAACTGGCAAAGCATAGATCCTGTGGAATCAAAAGAAAATTGAAAACAAATGATGGGATTTGCCAGTGAAAAAAAACCTTTCCAATATGATAAAGAGAAAGATGAGGATAACCATCCATAGGCAAGTTTGTAGGTAGAAACAGCAAGTTTATTAATATTATGCCCAACAGCCTTTATTAAATCTCAATAAAAAAGTAAAGCCATATGATCCAGCAATCCCACTTCTGGATAATTATTCAAAATAATTTAAAGCAAGATTTTGAAAAGATCTTAGCACTTCCATGTTGACTGCTGCACTATTCAGAATAGCCAAGACATGGAAACAATAAGAATATCTACAAACAGATAAAAGGATTTTATTAAAGTATACTTTATATATATATATATACACACATATATACATACACACACATACACACATGTTGAAATACTATTCAGCCTTTAAAAAGAAGAAAATGCTGGGGTGAAAGGACTGTTAAGCCACTTCTTAGGACACCCACATCCCATATCAGAGTGCTGGTTCAAAACCCAGATGCACCACTTCTGATCCAGCCTCCTGCTAATGTGTCTGAGAAGGCAGCAGATGATGGCCCAAGAGCTTAGGTCCCTGCTACCCATGTGGGAGACCCAGACAAGAGTTCTGGGCTTCTGCCAGGCCCAGCTCTAGCTGTTGCAGGAATTTAGGGTGTTAACCAACTGATGATCTCTTTCTCTCTGTCCTGTCACACTTTCAAATAAATAATTTTTTAAAAAGGAAGAAAATCCTGTAATATGTGATTATATGGATAAATCTGGAGGACACTACTTTAAGTGAAACATGGTAGTCACACAAGGACAAATACTCCATGATTCCACTTATATAAAGTATCTAAAACAGTCAAATTCATGGAGCACAGAATAGAATTGTGGCCTGCAAGAGCTAAGTGTGGCTGGCGCCGTGGCTCAATAGGCTAATCCTCTGCCTTGCGGTGCCGGCACACCAGGTTCTAGTCCCGGTCGGGGCACCGGATTCTGTCCCGGTTGCCCCTCTTCCAGGCCAGCTCTCTGCTATGGCCCGGGAGTGCAGTGGAGGATGGCCCAAGTGCTTGGGCCCTGCACCCCATGGGAGACCAGGAGAAGCACCTGGCTCCTGCCTTTGGGTCATTGCGGTGCGCCGGCCACAGCGTGCCAGCCATGGCAGCCATTGGAGGGTGAACCAATGGCAAAAGGAGACCTTTTCTCTGTCTCTCTCTCTCACTGTCCACTCTGCCTGTTAAATAAATAAATAAAATTTTTTTAAAAAAGAGCTAAGTGGAGAAGTGAACAGGGCTTTGCTAATCTATAGGCATAAATGTTCAGTTACACAAAATGAGTAAGTTCTACAGATCTCCTAAACGATATTGTTTATAGATAATAATACTGCATTGTACACTTAAAAATCTGTTAAGAGGATAGATTTCATGTTAAATGTTCTCACCATAATAAAATTTTTTGAATGAAGAAGTTATTCACTTGCATTTGTTTCAGAAAAGCTAATTTTATTTTAATTGAATAAAATATTAAAAGTTGAAGAGTATGTGAGAGGGGTGAGAGCTTGAGGAGAGTACTGAACAGGCACCAAAGAAAACAGGAAAGAGATCTGTCCAAAACTTAAGGGTAATGCCAACTAAGAGCAGTTGAAGTCAGAAATCATAGTGGCACTAAAGGAGCAGTCAAGGATATAAAATTGTAAATAAAAAGAGATGACAGTATAAGAGATTGTGAGTAGAGAACAAGACATTAAAGTCTGAGATTTCAACATGATGATAATGTTCAATCTGTGGACATTAATGTCAATTAGAGAAACAGAGGTAAAAGAACTGGTTTTGAAAAGTGTGAAGCTAGAATACTATGTTAATTATCCACTTGGACACCAAATATAGGTAATATGATTAACTTAGTTAAGATAGAAAGACAAAATATGCCAAATTACTCCATAAATATAAAGGTGATATCTAAGATATGGGAAAGATCAATGGCAAGGAGTGAAGAATAGTATAAGCCTTAATATTAAGGTGTCAAAGACTAAATTGTAGTGAACTTAATAATTACTAATTTATTTATTCAATGTAATACCCAGTCCTTTTCTCAAAAAATATATTTGAACTAAAAGAATGTATATATAATATTTTGCCTATCTTACCAATTCAAAAAATATATATTTATAAATTAAACTACCTACTTTTGATTTCTCATGGCCTACAGCATTTGCCATATCACATAACATTAGCTGATACCATAAGCCACTGGGTGTATAAGAAGAGGCACTAACTGCTGAAACAGTTCCCAAAAAGCACATAATCAGGAAATTATTCAAGATATTATAGAAACTCTTATTACCATTTATTTCTTGTGAGTATAAGTATCCTTGGGATACATTATCATATAATGTCAGGTAGAGGTTAGAAAGCACTTCCTTTTTCCTGTCAAAGAAACAACCACATTAAGAAAGCAGCAAAGAAAATATACAAACCCCACTTAAAATTTTAGCAAACTTACTAATAGGCTGAGATCCATATGAACCTTTTTTGAAGAACCATCCAAAAAATAGGGAATTAATTCCATGTTCATCACACCACTTCCTATCTTGTTTCTTTTAGGCAATATTTCCCTGAAGTGCAGAATTCACCCTAGTCATCACCCTACTATCTTTTGGCTGTAGTCCAATCTTTCTTACTCTTACTTCAAGTCACAGCAAGAGCATATTTGTATTTAAACAGCCCAAGAATCCCAAATTCCATCACCTATCAGTAAAAATGACTGGAAAAGATGATTCCTCTAATACTGCAGCATGTAAATAATTGAAATAATTTAATATTAGTCTTGGAAGAAATCTTAAGAGTTCATGTAGTACAAGATTCTACTATAAATGTATAAAGCAAGGCTTACAGATGTAAAGTGAATTTTACAAGTGCCTAAACTAGCATGTGAAGTCAATTAGGACTTAAATCTGTTTTCTAGTTCCATATATAGTGATCTAGCCCCTACCCTATCCTTCTGAACAGCATGGTGCCTTAGCTTTCATAAACTATTTGATATTTTTATATGAAAGGTATAGACAACTCTGGAGTGAAAAACCCCTAATATAAATCCAACATTCAAAAAATAGAATACAATAATTTAAATACCGCAAAATTGAGGAAGATGTATGAAGGGGCAATGAAGTCTTGCAAATGCTGTACTGATTTGGCAATTTGTACATAGAGTTTTCTTTTTTAGTTCTCTTCTCCGTTGACAGCTTCAGAGAGGGAAACTCAATCTAGAGCCAAATGCAAGTATGTTGGTGCCTAATATCACTCTGGTAACCCAGCATTCTCAGATATTAAACTGCTTAAAATATAATTAATAGCTCCATTATGCCATAGATTTTGTACTCTGTAAAATCTATTACTACATTGATAAAATATTAATTATATACTTAAGAAAAACAGAGCTTTGCAAAAAACATTATAGACAAAAAACATTATAGAGTTCACTTAAAATTTTAGTATATATAAAATTTAATTACAAGAAGCAGTTTTACATCAGAACCACAGCTATGAGAACAAGGTGACTGGGCCACCGACTCTAGGCTATATATACAGACTTAGACAATATGTGCAAAACAATGTGGAGAACAACCAATGAAGTTATTTAAATGATATAAGTACTTCTGTTTTGAATTAACCTTATGAATGAGTAAATTATCCACTTAACATTGCATGTATAAACATCATCCAAATGAGGCAAATAGGTAAATAGAAAAGTACCACTCCAGAAAATGAGGACACTAATTACAAATGTATGCCATTTTGGCCGGCGCCGCAGCTCAATAGGCTAATCCTCCGCCTAGTGGCGCCGGCACACCGGGTTCTAGTCCCGGTTGGGGCGCCGGATTCTGTCCCAGTTGCCCCTCTTCCAGGCCAGCTCTCTGCTGTGGCCAGGGAGGGCAGTGGAGGATGGTCCAAGTGCTTGGGCCCTGCACCCCATGGGAGACCAGGAGAAGCACCTGGCTCCTGGCTCCTGCCATCGGATCAGCGCGGTGCGCCGGCCTCAGCGCGCCGGCCGCGGCGGCCATTGGAGGGTGAACCAAAGGCAAAGGAAGACCTTTCTCTCTGTCTCTCTCTCTCACTGTCCACTCTGCCTGTCAAAAAAATTTTTAAAAAAATGTATGCCATTTTACACAAAGCTTATAACCTTGATTTTAAAGACTATACAGGTTGTGGAGAGAAAATTCTCAAGCCATACAAGATTGGTAGAAACTGATACTGAGATTCCACATAAAACCAAAATCTTCAAAAGTCAACATTCTCAGCACAAGTGAGCTAGCAGGGGGAAAAAATAACTCTTACTTCCAATGAAGAAGTATGCAAAGTAAAATCTGTGTCTCAGCTCTAAGCTAGAGAGAGAGAAAGAGACAGAATAAAGACTATTCCTATTGATTATTTATAATGATAATTCTATGCATATACATATAATTAACTTAAATTTATACTAAATGTGTTGTTCAGGAAAAATAGAAACCAAAAATTCAAAGTGGCCCCAAATTTGTAACACTTCTGAGGCAACTCAGCAGAAATATATGCAAATTCTCTTAAAAAGAAATTTCTTTGGGAATATGATAGACTCATTATGTGAGTCCCACAAATTTAGACCAACTATAAATGAAAAGGTGAACAGAACATAAAATATCCAGGGAACAAATTAACATGAATGAGAATAAGAACAACAAATAGAATATTCTGATTCTCCAAGGACTTAATATGTGGGGTTTATAAGATACCAATCTTGAAACAACCATGGAACATGAATAAATAATATAACATAAGGTAGATTTTAGGAAGTACCAAGTAAATATTCTAGAAGTAATAAATATAATCCCAGAAATTAAAACCTCAATGGACAGGTTAATGAGATTCACCTAAATAAAAAATGAGCAACCTAGAAAGTAGATGGGGAGAAATTACCAAGAACAAAATAGAGAGAAAGAGATGAAAAACATGAAGCAATGGTGAAGAACATAGAAGAAACAAAAGGATAATGAAGAGATTGAGGGAGGTGATATATTCTAAAAGATACTGGATTGAAATTTTACAAAATTTAAAAAAAAAGGCCTGCTTTATTAAATTCTGGAAACACAACAAATATCTAGGTAGTTGGAATCAAGATCTCAGCTGAGGACCAGTGCTACGATGTAGTAGGCTAAGCCTCCACTTGTGGTGCTGGCATCTCACATGGGCACCAGTTCATGTCCCAGATGCTCCTTTTCTGATCCAGCTCTTTATTTATAGCCTGGGAAAGCAGTAGAAGATGGCCCAGATGTTTGGGCCCCTGCCACCCACGTGAAAGAATGCAGAGAAGCTCCTGGCTGCTGGCTTCGGATCAGCCCAGCTCTGGCTGTTGCAGCCATTTGGGGAGTGAACCAGCAGCTGGAAGACCTTTCTCTCTGTCTCTCCCTCTCTGTTTGTAACTTTGTCTCTCAAATAAATAAATAAAATCTTTAAAAAAAGAAAAAGATGTTAGCTGAATAAGAGTCTTTACACACACCAAGTACCTTCATCAAAGCTAGAAAGCTAGATAAGAGACCACAGTGCCTCGTCTTTGTTGTAATCAAAAAAAGAAAAAGAAAAAGAAGAGTTTCCCATACCACCCCTCCCCAGCTCCAAGGATTGCAGTGTTGACAGACACCTTCCAATTGGGAGCTGAGTGAACTGAGTCCCAGTGCCACACCCATTGTAGAAAAAATCAGTAGCACTGAGTCACCCTGCCTGGACCCCACGCCCATATCTGTGGAGTGAACATTTGGAGATTCCACAACCAGGCAGCCTCTGCCACCATCCATCCCCACCAACCCCACTCCCATTGCCAACAGAAAGCAAAATTTCAACCCCACACAGAGGTCAGGAGAGGGAGCTAAAGACTACACCTGGGAGCTGAGACCCAGCACCTGATAAAGCCCAAAGGCCTCTAGTTCCCTGCCAATGCTCACAGACTGACCCTGTAGACTTGCCCAGTGTCAGGCACAGACCTACATTCTGGAGTGTCAGACTCGTTTTGGTATATGTTGCCATTAGTGGGCTTGAAGGATACCTATAGGACTTTGTAAAGACCTATGACTGTAGGAAGCAGGTGTGACCAGTCCGGGGACAGTGTAAGTGACAAGAGGCTGCCTTTATCAGTCTCCTCCAACCTTGAGCAGACAACAATGGGTTATGGGATTGTGTCTTGGGTAAACTCCAATGCTGGGTCAGATACTAATGGTTTCTTTCCCAAGGCAAGTACCTGTGGACAGTCTCTATACTTGCCCCAGTATCAGGCAGAGCAAATCTGTCTTCAGACCTGGTATTCACCACTGAAGATTGTGCAAGGCCTGGTGACAGTGAATTCCAGGTGTGACTCCCAAAATAGCCTGCCCAAGTTGCTCAGGGACAGCCTCTATCACTCCTCCTGCAACTAGACAGACAGCAAGGAATCACAGAACTGTTTTGGGACCAGGCTGATAAAATCCAGCATTGAGCAGATTCTAACAGTCCCCGTCCCCAGAACAGTGACTATAGACAGACCTCTGGATCTGTTTCACTGCCGAGCAGAGTTCCATGGTCCTGGTTAAGCAATCTTATATATCAGCCAATATCACTGGTGGCTGACAGGTGAACCCTCTTCAGCAACAGACAGATCACAGGAGGGTGAGCTTTGGTCCCACCGGCATTGTGCACTGGTGTTGGTGGCCTGAGGGCTCTTGATGTCATCTAGCACTGAGGCATTCATTTACAGACACAGGACAATGAGGCTGAGCCTACCACAAGCCCAGAAAGAAGCTTAAAGGGATGGACTACCCCTTTTTAGGCACTTCTCAGTTCATACTGAATAATACATCAACTGCAGATTTGGGATAAACTTGTAATTTTTTGAGTACTTAACACTGAATCAGTAAAAACATATCAGCAGGGGCCGGCATTGTGGCATAGCGGGAAAAGCTGCTGCCTGCACTTCTGGCATACCATATGGGCACTGGTTCAAGTACCAGCTGCCCTACTTCCACTCCAGCTCTCTGCTATGGCCTGGGATAGCAGTAGAAGAAGGCCCAAGTCATTGGGCCCCTGCACCCACATGGGAGACCTGGACAAATCTCCTGGCTCCTGGCTTTGGACCAGCTCAGCTCCAGCCATTGCGGCCATCTAGGGAATGAACCAGCGGATGGAAGACCTCTCTCTCTCTTGCCTCCGCCTCTCTGTAGCTCTGCCTTTCAAATAAATACATAAATCTTTAAAAAATATATCAGCAGTAGACTTGGGACAAACCAGGACTTAGAGTGTATCTAATGCTGAAACAGAAGTATTAGGGGCCGGCGCTGTGGCGCAGTAGGTTAATCCTGCACCTGCGGTGCCAGCATCCCATATGGGTGCCAGTTCTAGTCCCAGCCGCTCCTCTTCCAATCCAGCTCTCTGCTGTGGCCTGGGAAATCAGTGGAAGATGGCGCAAGTGCTTGGGCACCTGCACCTGCATGGGAGACCAGGGACCTGGGAGACCAGGAAGAAGCACCTGGCTCCTGGCTTCGGATAGGCACAGCTCCAGCCGTTGCAGCCATTTGGGGAGTGAACCAACGGAAGGAAGACCTTTCTCTCTGTCTCTCTCTCACTGTCTGTAACTCTACCTCTCAAATAAATAAATAAAGTCTTTTTTTAAAAAAAGTATTCATAGGCGCAGAGAAAACAACAGAATTTCTAGAAGAACAACCTAAATGAAGCCATATTACTAAAACTAATCCTTCAATGTACAGATGACATTGTATACTAAAAAGCATCAAGAAGTTCTAAGGAAACATGATCTCACCTAAAGAGCAAAATAAGGTCCCAGAAACTAATCATCTAGGAAATGAAATTTCCTAATGCTTGAATGAAGATTTCAAAATGTCTGTTTTAAGGAAACTCAACAAAATTCAAGAGAACACAGAGAAACTATTCAATATTCTAACAAAGAGATCTGATAGAGAGGTGAAGGTAATGAAAATCAAACAGAAATCTTTCAACTGAAACGTACATGCAGTGAAATTAAAATATGATATAAGACATCAACAGCAGGATATAACAAACAGAAGAAAGAATCAATGAGCTCAAAGACAGATTATTTGAAAAAACACAGCTTCAGAAGAAAAGGAATCAAGGGGAATGAGGAAAGTTTACACGAACTATGGGGTAGCATGAAATGAGCAAAAATGTGGTTTTTGGGAATCAATAGAACTTGAGAATGCCAAAGCAGCAGAAAGCATATTTAAAGAGA